TGGTTATGCCCTGGGCAGCGAACTGCAAGGTGCGTTTGAAGCCACCAGCCACAGTGAGGGAGCAAGATGGCTTTCTACTCCCGCAAAGAGTGAGTTTCGGGAACTCACAGGATCAGTTCTAGCCTGTGCCGAAGGGTTGCTGTGAGTCGGAATCGCTTCACTAGCAGTGAGATTGGTTTGTTGCGGGGAGGGGGGGTTCTTCGATTTACACCATCTCGGCTTCCAGCAGCGTTCAGAGGAAGGCTTTACTCTTGGAGAGCGGGGAAGACCTGCCTTTGTTCAATGCGGATGGGTGAGAGTGTTGAGTCCACGTCCTCACGTGAAGGGAGAGGAGCAGGGCTGGGGGTCTGGGACGTGGAATGGAGAGGAGGGAAGAGACGAGGGTGACAGCTGAGTCACTTGCAGTGCGAAAGGGGAGGGGAGCAGGCGTGGGGGAGGGCCCACGGGCAGGGAGGCCATGTTTGGTGCAGGGCATATAAAGTCTGAAATGCGAGCAGGACAGCTGTTCAGACAGTCACCGATTCTGGACACCAAGTCCTAGCGATGAGAACGGCAGGTCTAGGACACTGGCAGGCTGGCCTGGTGAACACAGCATGCTAAGTGCCATATAAATGCCCATGCAGGCATGTAAATCTTTATAGAGTGACACCAGGGCGAAATGAGAGTTCGGAGAGCTATTAAACTGCTACAACTCCATGAAAGATACATTCTGTTCTCCTGCAATTTAGGTGGTTATAATGCTCCGGAGTGCGCTCCCACAAAGACACAGCATGTCAATCTCCCGAACAGGGATCAATGGCGACCAGGCAAGGCCAGCCCCAGACCCTGCAGAAAGCACTAAGAGGGAGGGGCTCATTTGGCCTCTTCCTTGATTTACTCATGCCAGAAATATTTATTAACCTTCTGGTAGGTGGCAGGTCCTGAGTCGGATTCCAGGGAAACCATTAGGGACAAGCGCACACTGTCCCAGGCTCTGTCTGGGTGGAGAAAGGAGAACAGAGATGCTGCCAAGTGGTTCACGCTGGAGAGTAAAGCACGGGGCCTGGGGGCTGCACCTAAGTCAGATGTGGGGAGGCAGGGGGTCTCCGAAGGCCTCAGCAGAAGTCATGTCGAGTCCACTTTATCTGGGGCACACTCTGCAGGGATCAGCTGGGAAGGGCCTGGCGGCCAGCTAAGAGGTGGCCTGCCTGCAGCCTGGAGGGTGAATGAGGCTGGCCGGCTTCCAGACAGGCACACTGCAAGCCTGTAGACACAAGCTCGGTGGCCAGAAGTACGGAACAGACGGTGGGAAGGGAGGACACAAAAAACCAAACAAGCCAAAAACCAACTCCCTGACAACCCCCTAGAGAGGGCAGAATTGCCCCTGTGGGTTTCTGAGGTTGTAAGCCTTGAAGGGAGCAGCCAGCCTCATCTTTGTCCCGAGGGCTGGCTGGTGGTTTCTAACGGTTAACCTTGTGGTGTGCAGCTCAACGGGGAACCCACTCCGTCACCAGGGCCCTTTGGCATGGAGTCCAGTGGGGGGTACTGAGAAACACTCCGGAGCAGCTTGGCCAGAGTTTGACAACCACATGCGCTGGTGTGAACGGCGGCCTGTGAGGTGAAGCCAGGCAGAGCTTCTACTGGACTCAGTGCCTGGCCACCTTCCAAGGCACTCTGGTGGCACAGCGGGTTAGATGATGGACTAGTAACGGCAACGTCAGTGGTTCGAACCGAGCCACAAGAGGAAGACAAGGATCGCCTTGGAAAGTCCTCTAGGGTCATTCTGTCGGCAGCGACTCGTGGGCAGTGGGCTTGGTGGGGGTGGTCAACCTTCCCTACAGTTATACCACTGGGGCAGTCAGCTCTGCAGGCTGATGGAAGGGTGTGTGTGTGTGGTGCAAAGCTTTTAGAGTTACTATTGTGACCCTTGGGAGAAAGATGAGGTGCTCAGTCTAGCTAGTCTAGGGACCCCCCCCACCCCCGAGGCAGTTCTGTCCTGTCCTAGAGGGTTGCTAGGAGTTGGTACTGACTCGATGGCAGGGAGTAAGTATATCAGTAGTGTGACCCTTCACGAGTTGGCTCGGGTGACAGACTCACGCAGCCACCCGACACAGCACACCTATGGCGGGCCAGGCCCTGCAGACAGCAGTAAAGCTGGGAGCCCGGTCCTCAAGGAGCTTCCGCTCCAGTGGGCCTGACAAGCACCCAACAACTATGCCCCGAAGTAAACCCCATCTCAGGAAGGGAGGGATGGTGCGTGGGGGTTGGTCCCCGAGGCTGATGGAGGGCTGGCTGGCAGGGCAAGCTCTCAGCTGAGACACCGGCTTCCCTGTTCCCCCAAAGCGCCCTCCATTTGCTTGAGACACCCCGAGCTGCTGTTCCTCTCAACTGGAAGCTCCTCCCGCCTCCTGCAGAGGTTTCTGGGCCCGACTGGGTTGAAGGCTAAAGTACACAGGCAGTTAGGGTACCCTGGCTGGCCCCCCTCAGGCGGCTGTCAGTACATGCGGGGCACTATTGACCCGGGCCCTTCCCGTCTTTCTTCCTCGGCCCCAGGATGACTTCATCAGAGCCCTCATCAGGCTACCGGCCTCCAGCAGAGCCCGGCCAGCCCACTGCTCAGGCAACTGTCAGGCCACCCTCTCCCCTCCCGAAAGGAAGGCAGACTCAGGAGGCGGGAAATGGCGGCAAAAGTCTCAGGTGGCGCTTGCCTGACTCTCATTATTATAGGAAATCACCACCGTGTGCCCTCGCCCTCTGAGACGTAGGATGGAAACATCCATTGGCCAGCCCCCGTCGTGGACGCAGGATGGAAACATCCATTGGCCAGCCCCCGTCGTGGACGCGCTGGGCTGCTAACCTCAAGGCCAGCAGCTGGAAACCACCAGCCACTCCTCGGGAGAAAGACGGGGCTCTCTCCTGCTGGGGAGACAGGGGCTCCGAAACCCACCAGGGACAGCTGCCCTGCGCCATCAGTCGCTGGGAGTCGGCACGGACTCGAGGCGGTGGACAGCACGTCAACATGGGAATCCTGCGGCTAGGAACCCGACAAAGGGCCCAGGCCGGTGGGAACGAGACATATATGTTAGGGCACAACCGGGCAACCGTCACAACACACGTGCACAAGGCCTGCTTAAGGAGCAGCCGTGTGTGTGTGTGTGTGTGTGTGTGTGTGTGTGTGTGTGTGTGTGTGAGTATTTCAGGGTGTTGGTGGGCAGAGTGGAGATACAAGGGCAATTAGAAGGGAAAATAATTGCAGCAAAAGGAGCCGAATGACTTGCCGCAGTGGCAGGCCCATTCAGAAATTTCCCCAGGGGAAACACCAGGGAGAAAGCCAACTTCTGACTTAAGGAGGAGGGGATGGGGGAAGGCTCCCCTCGTCTCTGGCAAAGACAAAAGCATCCGGCCTCTTCTGACCACAGCACTGCCACGGACAGGCTGAGGTCTTGCCCAGAAACCAGTCCCCTTTTGGGGGCTGGCTGTCATTGTCCACGAAGGACGGAGCCCTCCTGAGTGGGAGGTACTAACCTAAAAAGAAGGTCAGCTTTGGACAGAACCTTCTATGTTCCCAAGGCCAGGCTGCACTTTCCCTGCAAACTCTTTCCCGCCAAGTCACTGTGGGTCTGGCAGAGTTCAAGGAAAAGAAAAGAAGAATTCACAAGAGGTGTCTCCTGGCCCCCCCACCCCGCCCCCGGCCAAGATGCCACCACCCCTCACCCCGGGAGGATCAGTTTTCTGGGGAGGAGCCCCCTCAGGAGCCTCAGTCTTCAGGGATCCCCCAGCAGACACAAACTCTTACAGACAATCCAAAGGCCACAACTGGGAACTCAGAGCCGGACGAGCTGGCACCGAGCAGTGACACAGGGACACCCAAGGTGAGGGGCACCCCCACCCAGACCTCCTTGGAGGAGGACTCAGCCTGCGCATCCACGTCGAGTTTGCTTCGGAAAAGGGTGGTAACCGCAGGGAGGGCTCCGGAAGGGCCACTAAAAGAAGACGGAAGAGATTCCCAACCCGCGACATCGGGGCAGGAAGAAAACCATCTCCCGCCCCCTTCCATCCCCCAGATGAGGAGGCCCAGGCCCAGAGAGGAACAAGGATGCGAACGAGACCTCACCAGCAGCCGCTTGGCAGGAGACCTTGGACCCCGGGCCTCCTCGTGCAAAGCACTGGCCCAGAGAGAGGGCAGTAGGGCCCGTGGGGGACGGCCCAGAATCAGAAGACAGGTGCTGGTCCAGAGGAGTCTTGTTTCTGTTTTGCTTTGCCAAAGCGGCCCTGGCAATGCCAACGCTGGATAGAGAAAGTCCAATGAGGGTAACAAATGCCCAAGGTGGGCAGACAAGCAGTGGGAGGAGCTGGAGAGTGGTGGGAATTCTGTTTCCAGGTTGACAGAGTCCTAAGGAAGCCCCTGGTTTTCTGACCAGAGCTTTTCCAGGTTGAGCCTGGGAAAGGGGAACGTCCCCGACAGGACCGAGGTCCCTGGGCTCAAACTCTCCACCTTGACGCACTTTTCTAAAACAAAGAAGCAGGAGTCAGCTTCGCGCCGTGTCTACCAAGCACCACTTGAATTCAAATCCCTTCGGTTCATTTAAACGACGAAGCCACCCACATACTTAGCTGTAGCTAAGGAGCCCACCAGTGGTCCTATAAAAGACCTGGACGGGTGGGTGTGGAGGTGCGGGTGGGGGTGTCTCCCCAGATGGCTGGGGCAGGGAGGAAGGCACTCCAGGTCACCCATCAGAACCATTCCGGAGTGTGGGCACAGAGGACATCTGCACCGCCCACACGGCTGCTCATTTCTGCTCTGCGATGCAGGCTGCATCTTAAACTCCACGTCAAGGTAGTCCCACGGATTTGGGTTTCTGCATTTACCAAGGCAACACTTTGAGATTACAGGGTGACTTTAACACGTGCGTCCTACTTCCGTTCCTCTCCAAAGCCCGGGTTTGGGAGGATTTGCGTTCCCAGAACCGACCAGCTCACCAGACACAAGCCCCGTGGGGACCATGAGTGCACGGGCTTACCTGGGACATCAATCAATCTCTTGTAGACGTTCAAGAAGGCTGCTTCGGCCTCTTTGCTCCTTTTACTCAGTGCATCAATCTGGAGGGGAGTGGAAAAGAGAAACAGAGAGCTCAGCCTTTGTCAGAAGTAATTTAAAAATCATTACACGTCCCGCCAGTTCCCACAGCAAATGGAAGTCTGGTTTCTTGGTGCAGGTACCCAGCAGCCAGGCCTTCAACCTGTTATAGGAAATGCTTGCCAGCAGGTACTCGGAGCAGTGCTGAGATGAAGCCGCTCCAAACACTGGGACGTGACCAAGAGTCTTCTGGTTCAGTTGCGGGGGGCAAGGGCAAAGAGAGAAAGGTGGTCTGGTGGGCGCTCCTGGTCTTGTCCCTCTCTTCTGTGAGCCTTTACCAAGAGTGAGCGAGATGTAAGAGTCCCTAGATGGCTCAGGTGCCTTAGTGCTGGCCTACTGGCCAAGAGCTTGGAGGTTAGAACCTGTCCAGGCACCTCAGAAGTCAGGCCTGGCAATCTTCACGCACACACACACGCTATTCTGTTTTCTTCTCTTAGGACACTTACATATCCATCGGAGTTGTCACACGGGATCTCTACATGCACTCTAAAGCCCATGAGTGGAACGGTCACCGGTCGTGGGCACATGGGATCTGCAGATGTCTGCTGTGGTGGAGACCAAGGATACATGGTGGAGGAACTATGGTCACAGACTTAGAAAGGTAAAGGGGTCTGATCACAAAGGGGCAACGGGGCCAGTGGAGAAGGATAAGCACCCCATACCGGACAATGGGGCCCGGGGGAGACTGAGGATCATGAGTAAGAAGGCAAGACGGATGGGTAGGGCAGGAAGGAGGGAGGGTGTTCAGAAGGGACTGCCCTCGTGAAGCTGAACAATGAGAGGGCAGGGCCTCAGGCAATGAACAGAAGAGGCCCCAGAGAGACTGAATCAAGCTCAGTCCACGGGAGGCACAGAAGAACAAGAAGGTTGAGCCCAGCACTCAAGTTTCTAGCTTGGCCAATGGGCACATCTCTGTGACGGTGGCCAGCGAGCGTCTGTTTCGTGAATGAACCCAGGTGGACTTGTTCCCCCCAACCGCCGCCACCACCCATGTAGAAACCCAGCCACCAGAGAAAGGTGAGGGGCGAAACGCCTCGGTTGGGTTTGCGGGACACAGACCCAGGGAGCCTTCCGACGGTTGGGCAGACTCATGGTACTACTTAGCTCATATATCATAATCGCTGAGACAACAGATCATTTTTCACACCTGAAGCCTGCAAGATTTTACATGCGTCAAGTTCCAATTGGCTCAGGATAAGGACACTAAATTATATATTTCTTCTGTCCCCTCATAGAATTATACTCTCTGTCTGCAATGTTATTAAAGAGGCAAGAGGATGTGGTCTAATTACAGGGCCGCTCACGCTGAGCCAGCCAACCATTTGTTAAGACTGGGAGAGTTCACCTGATGACGGCCCAGGATGTGGGGCCCTTTAGGAATGGGAGCCAAGGGTGGATGTGCACCCTATCTATGAAGAGCTAGTGCAAGGCAAAGAGGTGGAAGGCCACTTCTAACAAGATCCGTCCCTAAGTTCTTACTTGAAGGCAGCTGTTTGGAAGGCTGGCATCTATATTGCTTCTTGCATAAAATCAAGTTGCGACGTAGGTGTTGGAAGGGTCTCCGGACACACCACACGGACCACATGAATACAACAGTAGGTCTCTCTGTGGAGTGGCTACTTACGTGCAGCCTGGCAACTCATGGGGTCTTGGCTTTTTGAGTCACGGTTTCATGGGACAACCCCATGAATTGGCCCAATAATGTGTCCGGTGCTTCTGTTCTGCTTCCTGGTTCACTGTACAGTGCCTGTGGTCTTCCATGTGTGCAAGTGGCCACCGTTGCTCTCTGTTCATCAGGAGCAACAGAGGCAGGAGGAGCGCCAGGAACACAAGGAGAAAATGGAACGTGTGGCTAACTGTCTCCGCCAATGGCTGCCTCCCCTTTGTCATCAGAGCAGAAGAGCTGGTTGGTGCCTAATTCCTGTCACTGAGCATTTTGGCCCAAGATTCCATAGAAGAATTCTGATCAAAAGAGGGGAAATTTCTCATGGAATCCAGACTTTCTGGTACCACAGAGGCTGGGTGAACTCCAAAACTATTGCCCAGAGACAAGTTTTGAACTAAAAATGTTCCCTCAGATCTTCTCGAAATCAATCAATGGTTTAGCTTAATGAGTAAGGGCTGTCTGCCTTGAGCACTGTGCTCTTATAGGATCTATCGATGCTTGATCACTTGACGATTGGCCCTTGAAAGATTAAACAGGAAACTCAGGGAGTGGTAAGTTCACGGTCACGGAAGAGGAACGGCTCAAAAAGGGGGGTGCCATGGGGGGCATAACTCGACTAATGTAATCAGTGTCAGTGAACCGCAGGTTGAGTTGGTATGTGTTCCCGACGAGAAAATAAGAAATGTAAAAAGCCACTATTCTTAAGACAAAATGCTTCATTTTTCAAACCGATGATTAGTAATTTATGCTCATTTTACAATGAAAAACATCAAAACTAGAAAGAGAGCAATGAAAAATACAATCTGCCACTTGCTGGTAGAAGTCATATTTTTTGTCTATTTTCCCCTCAAAATATTATTTTTTTCCCCTCCTAATTTTAAGATATATAGTTGAATGAAACGTCCTCAACAGGCCAATCTGCAGAGACAGAGGCAGCCTGGCATGGCCTACGCTGGGTGGAGGGAAAGGATTTGGGGTGAGAGGAGAGGATGGCAGCTGAAGGGGATAGGGTTTCTTTTGGGGGTGAAGAAAATGTTTTGAAATTAATTATGGCAATGGTTTCACAATCCTGTGACTGCATTATATGCTTTTAAATGGGTGAGTCGTAAAAATAGGAATTATATCTCAATAAAGCTGTTAAAAAATAATATATGGTTAAAACCAAACTTTGTGTAAAGTTTTTATTGTGTTTCCTTTCACTAACGTATCATAAATCTTTTACTGGATGGCATCAAGGACTTCAGACATGAAGAAAGCACGAGGTCATTAAACAGGAGAGAAAGGGGAGACGAGTGGGGTGTCTGAAGATGCCCTGAAACTGGCTCTTCACTGGCGAGCACCGAAAGCAAGAAGACATTGAACAGAACCTCAAAGAGCAACTTGATAAAGCAGAGCGTAAGAATAAACTTGCAGAGACCTGGAGTTAGAAAATTAAAAGGCGAGACGCGTTTGGCATTTCTCAAGCTGGAAGAGCGAGGATGGGGGTGGGGGAGACAAAAACACTAAAATCTCTGGTTTCTACTGTGAATGAGTCTCTGGGCAAAAAGGAGCTCTGGTAGCACCGTGGGTTAAGCACTGGGCTGCTAACCACAAGGCCGGCAGGCAGTTCAAGTCCACCTGCCCTTCCTGCAGGCTTTCTGCCCCGACAAGGATTATACCCTCAGACACCCGAGGAAACAGTTCTACTCTGTTCTGTAGGATCAAGATGTGTCACAATCAACTCGCCGACAGTGGATATGGGCAAGAATATTGACCGACATAGGAAGCACTGCAAAAAGATGCAAGGAATATACAGCTACTGTATCAAAAAGAACTGGCCAACGTTCCATCCTTTCAGGAGGTAGCATGTGATCAAGGACGACGTCCAAGCTGCATGGAAGGCATCGGCAAAAATAAGGTCCTCGGAGTTGACCAAACACCAATGGAGATGTTCTAACCAACAGCTGCAACACTGGGGCGTGCTCACTCATCTACGCCAAGCAACGTGGCAGACAGCTACCTGACCCACTCACTGGAAGATACATCTTTGTGCCCATTCCAGGGGGAGGCGTGATCCAACAGAATGTGCCAATTATCGAACAGTATCCTTAACCAAGAGGAGGTGTTTGAACAGAACCAGGGAGTATGGGAAGGAAGGCCTGAAATCAGGCAAACTGTGTGTTCGGGTTGTAAAGTTCACCCTAATGATCCAACCTGTACACGGAGTCAATCACCCAGGAAACTGGGCTACTTGAAGAAGGAGGAGCCAACAGGACGAGAAGACTCACTGACCACCTGTGGCACGCAGAGGACACAATTTCGCTTCTTAAAATGAAGAGGATTTGAAGCACGTATCGGTGAAGACCAAAACACAGAGCCTCCGGTATGGACGACACCTCTGCAGGAAGGACATGAAGACCCTCCCACAGGACCGAGAATCATAATCGTATAATTTGGATTCACAACCAAAGCCCCTGGCAGGAGCAATCCGGGCGTCCGATGACATATTGTGTGAGGAAGATCTGCTGGAAAAGACCTTTTCAAAGGGTTAAAAAGCAGACGTCACCCAATACCAAAGCCATGGCAGTTGCCACCGTCTCATAGGCACCGGTGAAAAATGGACAAGGAATGAGCAAGACCGACCAAGAACTGACTCTTTCCCATGACAGGGATGGCAAAGGATACGGAATGCACAGTACTCCCAGAAGAACAAAGAAGTCTGTTTTGGAAGAAAGACAGACAGCTAGAAGGTTCTGTGGCAGTGCCAAGGGTGAGACTTTGTCTCCTGGGCTTCAGGCATGTGATCAGCAGGGACCAGTTGCTGGAGCAGGTTATTGTGCTCCGTCAAGTAGTGGGTCAGCAAAAAGAGAAGATGACCCTCAATGACACAGATGGACACAGTGGCTGCAAAAAGTGGGTGTAAACACGACGGTGATTGTGATGATGGCACGGGACCGGGCACTGTCTTGTTCTGCTGCACAGGGGTCACTGTGAGCTGGAAGGGACTCAATGGCACCTGACAATTATGATCCAAATGTTTGAAACGTCCCAGTAGTACCGTTTCACCTGAACCTTAACCCCACATCCCATGTCGGGCGTACAAACAGAGGTGGAGTTGTGTCTTTGGAAACACGCCCTTGTACGTGGCTAATGGGATGGAATCTATGTCCAGAAGGCAGGACAGACACCCGACTGACCTCCACACCACAGCCACACAGAGATGTCTTCAACCAGCTCAGGATCTGCCTAGAGAGAGGCCCTCACTGCCTGGGTCTTCTGATTCCGAGTTCAAAATGTGGCTGTTTCCAGCGTGGGGTT